CCACCACGGAGTCGGACGCTGCGAGCACCTAGCCGATTGTGAAGTGTAACCGCCTTCGCGGCAGGAACGGAGCACTGTGGAGAGGAGCGGTGCCAGCAAAGACAACAGGGAGGACCGAGGGAAGGGCTGCGAGAACAACCGGGAGCAGAAAACTGGCAAGACTACAAGCGGCGAGGTGCCGCCACCTCAGGTCACGCGGCGTGGCGCGGCGTGGCGCAGCGACTCCGCCATAATAATTCAAAAACACCCATCTGCCCGCGCCGCCTCGACAACAAGGAGCCGCCATTGTTGTGGGCCCATTGTCTGCGTGCATGACTCAAACAATTGTCTCTCCAAACACGCCCCCCCCCCCTCAGCCCCCCGCCCCGGGAGAGCCGACAGGCCGACAGGACGCCACGTCATTAGAAGCGCGTTTCCAATCGGCAGGTAAGCCAGTCATCAATCAGAGCGTCATTACGAAAGTCGGAAAGGCGGAAGCGAACGCGGGAAGGAGGAGCCGGCCGTTTTGCCGCGTGACGCGGTGGCGCGTCGGCTGCTGCTATTCGCACGCCGACGTGTAAATAGTGTAAATAATGCACGCGGGCGGTGGCCATTGCGGATCCGCAAACACCGCGAGCCCTGGGGGCCTGGGAAAGGGGCGGGGGAGGGGAGGGGGTCGCACACTGCAAATAGTGCCCTGCAAAATTCAGGAGCAGACGCACGCACACACAAACACACACGCGCGCGCGCGCACACACACACACAGAGCGCGGGCGGGAAGTTTGCGGGGAAGGGGCAGCTGGAAGGGAGGGGGGGAGGGGGGGTGCGCGCAGTGTAGACTTTACCGGCTGGGTCCAAAAATGAGACACGAAAGAAATCATTGCCGTGTTTTAGCAGAATCAGCAGCCCCGAAAGCGCACTGTAAGGGCGCACGGCCGAAAAGTAAAATGATGGACCTTTTGAAGCGGTAGCCTGCAGCACGCCGAAGAAGGTTAAAAGCCAGTAGCGTGTGGAGGGGTAGATGAAGGGAGTCGTGACGCACGTTCCTCCGGACGCCATGGACGCCAAGGCGCGCCAAGCCAAGGTGGAGGCGGTGCGGGGGCGTGTATGGAGGCGCTAGTACCGCGCGGGCGTAAAACGGAGAGGGGCTTCGTCGCCATGAAATGTCATCATCTCTCTGAATGCCGTCCAATCGCGTTTGCCCCATCATGCTACAGGGGGCCTCGTTTCCGGGCTGGCCCGGCCCGGCCTTCGAGGGCGAGGGCCACCCAGGGCCACCCAAAAATGACGATTTTGCGAAGAGAAACTTGAATAATGCGTTGGCAGTGGAGGCTTGTTGTCCTTGCGACGTGGGGCCCCGAGTCCCCACACCACAATCCATCCCACTTAGCCCCGCTTACATCCAACAACAAACCCCATCCCGGCCGCCCCGTCCTCGTCGCTCTGTCTCTGTCGCACTCACAGGGAGTCCCGCAGGCGTGCGAGCGAGACAGAGCGACAGAGAGTGGCGGCGCGAGGCGGCAGCTCCAGTGCCGCTCCAGTCGCTCCAGCCGCTCCAACTCCAACCAGCCCCACGAGGCCAGCTGGGGCTTGCCTGGGCCTGCCTGGGGCTGGAAGGTGTTCCAGAAGGACTTCCGGCTGGATTTCCTCCACGCAGCCCGGCTTCTGGGTTCGTTTCGGATGGCCTACTATTGGTTCACGGAACGAACGCGACCAAACTAGATCTCCGCCACTACATTCCTCTCACACGAAAACCCCGTAAACCTCCATACACAAAACACAGCGCGAAAAAAGGGAACACGGGACGAAGCTGATTAATTATGATCCGCATAGCTGGCGTGGCCTGTGGCGCGGCCTGTGGCGCGGCCTGTGGCGCGGCCTGTGGCGAGAGCAAAGAGCGAAGCCGAGCCAAGCGCATCCCTCGGAACGGGAGCACGCTGCACTTTGGCTTTTCCGAGCTCCCTGATGGAGCCTTTCCTGGCGCGGATAGATAAACACGGCACGGCCGGACAGACGGACGGACAGACAGACAGACAGACAGACGGAAGCAGGACGGACAGCGCGTGTTTGAGCGGGCGAAGGAAAGACGTGAAGGCGGCCAGGAAATGGCCCCGGCCCGTTCATAAAGTCGGACTCATTGGGGAGGAGGTTCCGAATTCAGCCAATGAGCAGCCAGGACGAGGCCGAGGCCGGCCGAGGCCGTGCCTAGCAGGAAATGGACGTTGTTGGTAAAACAGCGTGGCAATTCATGTCCCGACGGGGGGCTCGGCCCAGCCCCGGCACGGCCCCGGCCTCCGCCTCGACCCTTGCTGTCCTGACAAGGGAAGCTAATTTGATTCCGTCCCCCCACATGCACTGGCCAAATTATTTCGCCGTCCGTGCTCGCCGCCGTCGCGACTTCGATCGCCTGCAACGACACGGCACCGTCCGCCCCCGTCGCGGTGCACCCGGGAGGTCGCCGTCGAGGGCCCGGTTAGCCTAGGCCGTGAGGGGTGGGCAATACCTACAGGTGCCTAACGTTCTTCTCAGAAAATGCTCTCGGCAGCTGCTTGAAGAAGTGTTAGGCTAGGTGAGCCTGCGTTGAGACAGGTGGGGCCTCGTTTGAGGGCCGGCACTGGCTGGCACGCTTTGAGGGCCGCCAGAGCGAGGCAACCATTTCCTCGTTTCTTTTTCGGCGTGTAGCGACGGCAGTGTCCCCCACGGGGCCGGGCGGGGCCGGGCGTGTGGGCCTCAAAGTGCGAGTCGTGCCGGACATGGGCACGAACACACGCCCTCGCTTAAAAATAGATCGGCCACCCCCCTCCCTATCTATAGCCCCTCCCGTGGCGCGACTTTGGCCGCTCCAGCGTGACACGGCGCGTCACACAGTGTGGTTTCTCGATTTTGTTTGGGAGCCCAGTGCGGGCGCGCGTCGGGATCTGGTCCGTTTCCCACACAAACTAGCTCCGCGACGTTCGCCGCCCCGTCCAGAGTATCGACCGCGCCGCGCCGACGACGCCGACGAACGCACCACGCCGACGACGCGCCGCCGTGCCAGCGAGCCGCCGCCGTGCCGACTGCCGCGCCCCTTCCGGAAAAAAATAAAGCGCGATCCGATGTTTGCCTTGGCCGGCGCGGTGCAGCGGGGGCGGCGGCGGCGAGGGCGGCGGAGGCGGGCAGCCTCAGGGTGGGCAGCCTCAGGTCTGCAAACAGACAGCACCAGGGGCCAGCAGGGGCTGGCCACGGAGTGCCTACCTGGAGCCGGAGAGCACACACTGCGCGCGTGTGTGTGTGTGACGGGCACACCGACAACCCAGCAGACATCGGCAGGCGATACGTGCTGATCCCCACTCTGCAAAGCAAACTTTGCGCCTATCCGCCCCCGTCACCCTGTCCATCTGACCAGGCCTAGCCACCAGCCTAGTCCATCGACCTATCAGGGGACGTCCTGCCAGCCCAGCCAGCCACACCATAGAGCACCCCTCGCCCCTTTCTCTCTCCCCGGCCGTCCCCGGCTCATGCCGTCATCAAATTTTCAAACTTGAATCACCGTGGCGCAACACGGCGTTAAGGGGATCCCCACTGCATGCTTCATGGCGGTCATCACCACGGCGGCGACGGCGATGATTAGAATTTAGAGCTGGCCGTCGGGACCCCGGCGGCAGGTGGACTTCGGACCAGGCGTGCGAGAAAGGCGGATTCCACCCCACCGCAGAATCCTCCTCGCGTCGAGGCTGGCGGTTGAGATGCTATTCTTTTGTTTGAAAGTAGATTAATAGCGATTAAACAATAGCAGTGTGTGTGTGTGTGTTTGTGCATGAGAGTGTGTGGTAGGGAGAGAGGGGGAGTGTAGTGTGTGCGTGTGGAGGCGCCGCGACGGGGGGCGTAACGTGTATCATTCATCATAGATGGTGAGAGGCGCTCCTTGGGTGAAGAGACGCGCCACAATGCGGGAGGGCCCTTCTCCGCCCTTCAAGCGCCTTCAGGCGCCTTCGGGCTGGGCGAAAAAAGCTCCCTTCACTCCCAACACGCACGCACACACACACGTCATTCCACCTTTACTCCACTACGCGCAACCTGGGGCCTCCTTGCCGAATAACCCTTCCGGTGCCTGTCTGCCTGTCTGCCTGTCTGCCTGTCTGCCTGTCTGTCTGTCTGTCTGTCTGTCTGTCTGTCTGTCTGTCTGTCTGTCTGTCTGTCTGTCTGCCTGTCTGTCCGTCTGTCCGTTCGTCCGCCTCCGCCCTTCGTCCTCCCCAGCCGGTCCTGGTCGCGCGGCGATCCGCATAATTCGTCAACGCAAAGCGAATCGCAAAGCGAAAGTGAGAGCGAGATTCAACTTTCCCTCCCAGCACGGCCCGGCAGTCTGTGACTGCGGAAGGACGGCCGGGGCCCTGTCCAGGACCGGGCAGGACGCAAAGGGGGGGGGGGGAGTCTGTTTGGGCGACTTGCTCCTCCAACTTGCGCATTAGCACCACTGTCAGTGTTCTTATTCCGGGACGCGTCACGGCGCGGCACGGCGCGGCACGGCACGGCAATAAATTAGGAAGAAAGGGGTACGGAGGCCTGCGGTGGCCGGCCGCTCGTTGATGCTGGCAATGGACGACGACGTCGTGGTGGTGGTGGTGGTGGTGGTGGGGGGGGGATAGCGGACAAAGGCGGCGCTGTATCGCTGGATGGCACTCGATTATGTTGGCGAAATAAAGGGAAAAAGAGGGACATGCTGTATCGCGGCCCCGCCAGCCCCCGCCAGCCCCCGCCTGGCCCCGCCACCCCGCCCCGCTCCGTTCCTCATCGTTCCCTCGAGCAACAAAGCCATTTCCGGGCCAATGGACGCCAGAGTGCGGCGGGGCGGGCCGGGCCGGGCTTGGGGGCGGCGCGCCGAGTCTTTCGCCGTGCTTCCATTCATTTGCGATTCGGGCGATTGGAGCAGAAGCGGTCCTCGGCGAGCTCCGCAGCTCCGCCGTGATTCCGACGGACGGGTCGGTCTCCTTTGACGCGCCGGCACCAAAGCCCCTCGATCGCCGACCGCGCAGACTACGTACCTGTTCCGTCAGTAAGCCGTTTGGACAGTCCTTGAGGAATCCCTTGTGCCTGGAACAAACGAGACAGCGCTGATTAAACGTGAGCGAAACCACCGTACACCGTCACATAAAAAACGTACGGCCGCAAAAGAAACTAAAAAATAGAACGATATAAAATGCACATCTAAGTTTTCAACAATCAATGATCAATTGATCCCTGGCGAAAAGTTTGGCTGCTTCCGGCGGCCCTCGCGCAGCAGGTGCGTGGCGGCCGGTTCCTGGAATGTTTGCGCCTTTTGGAATAAATCAATCGCAGGGGAAGCTAAGGCGGACGCCGATCCCCCCGGGCCGCCTCGCCCCGCCCTCCGCGCCAACAAAACATTTTTCCTCTAGTGCTTCCTCTCGCCCACCGGGGCCCTCCCCGGTTTGATTGATCGGAGCGAGAGAGAGAGAGTGAGTGAGAGAATGCACGGCCATCCACCGAAAGTTGCAAATATTCCACGTAAATAATTCAGCTTTTTAAAAATTTGTTTTTAATCAAGTGGTCGAGAGGTAAAAGCGGGCGAACGCACCAATAATGAGACACTGGCGAGAACAGTTTGAGGTCCACGAGCTGCTTTTTTTAGCAGAGCCTCAGTGTCCTGCGTTGTTGATGTTATTCCCGTGTACTTTATACCGTAAACAAGCTGTTAGTGTGGTGTGCTATGTAAAATAGCCACCGCCCCGTTAATGCTGTGCCGTGCCGTGCCGTGCCCTTCCCCGGGGGGACCTCATTACTTCCACTATCATTACGGCATTTCGGACTGGCTCGACCAATATCGCAAACTCAATGAAGAAAGTGGTGAAATAATTTGTTGGCACTGGAGAGGGCTAGATAGAGATGGGGTGAGGGGGGGAGAGGGGGAGAGAGAGAGAGGGGGGGGGGGCGAGCCGCAGCTGTCCCACCAATTAGTGCGATAATGACTCGCTGCGATTGGAATGGCATGGCGCCCATGGCGTCCATGGCCCGGGGGGACACTCTGGGCGTCTTCGAGACCTTCGAGACCTTCGAGACGAACCAGCGCAGCTGGGCCTGGCTGGCCTGGAGCGGTTAGCCTCTACACTGTAGCCCACAGCCCGAAGAACGCCCACAGGTGCAAAACTAGACTGCCGTTTGAACGCCATCCTCGCGGTGCTTCGCAGTGCTTCGCAGTGTGCCCGACATCCCTGATGACTTAACGCTGTGGCTCATGATCCCCGAGGTCCGGCCCGCCGGGCTCGCCTCCAGGTCACCGTCCCTGACGGCCCCTCAGGTCGGCGTTAAGGGTATCCAAGGGCTTTACGGGCTGCTCGGCCCTTCAGGCCTTTCGGGCCCTTCAGAGTCGCCCCGGCCGCCGGGCGGGCCCTGGGCCTTGGCCCTTTACAAGCCGCTGGGAGGGCCCCGGGGCTGCATACACGCCGCCAAGGCTGAACCGCTTGATAAGGCGGAGTGCCGGTGACAGCGCGAGACTTCTTGCCTCAATAAGAGTTCTGCAGCTGTGTGAGTGAGCCAGCGAGTGTGTGAGTGAGCCACGTGCAGCCACGCCTGCAGGGGCTCCAGCGGGCTCCAGCCTTACACGGGTGTGCGCGGCGCTCCCCACACGGCCTGCAGGCTGACTGCGGCCGTCTCTCTCGCACTCACGGGGCGTCCCGCACAGGAGCGAGAGAGACGCCGGAGCCAGTCTGCGGCTCGGCGGGGCTCGGCGGGGCTCGGCAAAGCGGCAGTTGAATGAGAACAAAGCCCGGCCCACTGGAACACGGCAACGGCAGCGCGTCAGCAAGCCGCTGCAAGCGGGGACAAAGTGGTGCTCCGGGCTCATCGAAGCGGCCTTCCCTTCCTTTCCCCGCTTTCCCGCTTTCCGGCTTTCCCGCTTTCTCGGCTTTCCCGGGGCGTGGAGGCGCTAGCGCTAGCTGCCATACGTAAGCAATTACTCTCAGGCAGGTCCAAGAGCGGGGCGGGGCGGCTCAAATGTGTGGCTCACGCCGCTCACGCCGCGTCGATGCGGCGATGCGGGGCACTCTGGGTGATGAAGGCACGGACGACGTAGCGGCGGCCGGAAACACCACCCGGAAACAACGCCCCAAGGTGAGATACACGGTTACATTTTTCACTCACCCCACCGACTGGAAAGTTTTACAAAGTTGGTGAGACAAAAAGAAATGGAGCTCGTTCCGGCGGTGCCGGCCGTGCGGTGTGGACCGATTTGTAATGACGGCCGAAAGTTGTCCCAACTTTGCCCATCATCGGCGATCAACGGAGCGGCGGTACCCGCCGGTGCTACCCGGCACTCACACTGTGAAATACAGTTTCAAATTTTCGGTGTCTGTTTACATTATGAGTTCCAGTCTTTCAGTAATGTTGAACGCGGAGGTCGTAGTGCTGGGCACTTTCCGACAACTCTTTTAAAAGTGCGGACGATGGCAGTGCAGGTACCACGGTGGCCTCTCTCTCGCACTCGATTAGTGGGATGGTGTTTTAGCTCGGGGTCGCTGCTTTTATAGTGCCGGCCCGCCCAGTCCTGGTTCGGCCTGGTGCGCCAGGGCCGCGAGTGTGGTGGCTCCGTCGCCGCCGCCCCGAGACCAATATTTCCTCATTACACACAGCGGCCTGCGAGCAGCCCAGGCAGAGAAAGCAACGCAAGCAGCGCAAGCAGCCAGCCGGTCCGGGCGTCCTGGCGCGCCAGGAGTCCGGGGAACTGGGTGGAGGCCGGGCCAGGCCATGGCCGGAGCCTGTGGGACGACTCTCGAGCTCAAAACGCGTTCGGGATTTCGGCCGCCTCCACCGGCCCTCTGGCCCACTGTGTGGCGTCGCCCCGGTCGTCATCACGACACAAACGGGCCGTTTGAGCGAGTTGGTGTGAGTAGTGCCGCCGTCCACCACCGCGGTGCGCTGGCGTCGCTTCCGTCGCCGCGGCCTCTCCAACTACCGCAAGGCCGTCTAGTCCCCCGTCGGGCCGCCGCGCCGCCACGCCACTCCAGGAACGTAATCTAGTTAATCCATGCTAACTCTTCTAATCTCTTTAGCGGGGTGAGACGGAGGGGGCCGCGCCGCGTGGCTGTGCTTGATTCGCCTTACCTGCACACGCAGGCGCGGTACGCACACACACGCCCCACGCACACACTGGCACACTGGCAGACTTTGCGTGGCGCAGACACACAGCGAGCTTGACGCCGTGCCCCTTGCCTGCCTCGGCACGGCGCGGCCGGCGCGCCATGACGTGCTCGTATGCACACAACGACTTGCTCGGCCTGGCCGCCGCGCTCGTAAAACGCGGCGTAAAGAAGCGGAGCCAGAGAGTTGCTTTCAGGAAGAAAAGGAGGAGATAAAAAGTTAATACAGGCCGTGCGCGCGCACACCAGAGTTACAACACACAACGACCCCCTTTGGGTTGATGAGGGCTCCAAATGGCCGATGGCGCCGATGGCACTGATTCGGGCTGAATCAAATGGACGGGCCCGCGATCGGCTCTTCAATGGAGGGGGCCTTATTAAACGCGCGGGCCGGGCCGTGGCCGCGGCTGTGGAGTGAGCAAGGCGATGAATAAAACCGTGTTTCGCGCTCACTCGCACACTCACAGCGCGCACACGCTTGTCAACGGCTTGTCGTTGGCACATATTCATTTCGGCCGCTCACAAAGGCCTCTGCTGTGGCGGGGCGGGGCGGGGCGGGCACACAGAGCAGGTGGCGCTCAGATTGGACGACTCGTGGTCCCAATTAGCACAGCGGGCGATGCCTGCCTTCTCCGCGATTCTCCGTTGTCGAGTCGCGCCTCGCCGCGCACGCACACTGTTGGCTCCCGACGCTCCGGCCGAACGCCAAGGAGACCGATGGCGACGCCGTGGCCTTTCCCGCCCCCGGCTCCGCCCTGGCAGGCCGTGCCGCGATGGCGGGGCGGCGATAACAGTCGCCCATCGCCGAGACATTTCCTCCTTCTTTTCGGCCCGAATCTGCAGCAATCCGGGGCAATGCGGGGCAATCCGAAGGGACGAGGCGCGTCGTCGCCGTCCTCGCCTCCCATTACGTCCACCTTCCGTCCTATCATCACGACCCCCCCGAGGCACCATTAGCACGCTGTCCCCGCGCCACCGCACCCCGCCCCGCCCCGCTCCGCCCCGCCCCGCCCCGCCCCGCCCCGCCCCGCCACGCCAGTCCATCAGAGTGACGGGGAGCGCCTGGACTGTCAGCGCGCTGTCACAGTGCTGTCGCTGCGCCGTCGCTGGCTGGGGCCGCAGGGGCCAAGCCAGGGCCACTAGCCGAGTTCATCTGCGGCGTGCGTATCTCATTGGCTCTCCATTTTGCACCCGAATTTTCCGGGTCGGCGGTGGTGTTGTTATTTTGAGGCCTTCTTTTTACGGGCGGCCGCGTCAGGTGAGCTGTATCGCAGTATAACGGGTGCAAAGGCGGGAAGGCGAGGAGGCGGGGAGGCGGCGGCGTGGAGCGCGGCGGAACGACTAGTGAGCCGGAAAATTGTCTGGGATATGAGGTTGACGGCTGCGTCGAGGGAGGGGAGGAGGAAGAAGAGGCCAAGGCGTGCGACCGCGCGGCCGGAGGCCAAAGAGCACAGGGCACACCACCGATCACAAACTCGCACCAAAAACACACAGAAATAACCAACAAAAATTCGGTTGGTTAAATTTATATTTGCAGCAGGGGTGCCGCGTGACGTCAGAAAACTGTTTGGGGTAGTCCGTGAGGGTAGTCACCCGGACCGAGAGGGGGCGCCCAGCAACAAGGAGAGTGCAGTGCCACGCGGGCAAGGCGGGGGCAAGGCGGACACGAAGCTCGACATCGCTTATCGGTTTCCGATGCTCTCTTTGCCCCCAGAACCACCACGCCGGCATCTCTCCCCCTCCCCCTCCTCCTCTCCGCGCCGCCTCGGTGCTCCTCCTCGCCTTTATCCCTCAAATCGCCTCAAATATTGCGGCGGCCGAATAACGAAAGAAGAAGTGATGCTGGTCAGGCGCGCCGCCCCGCCTCGGCCCCGCCGCCCTGCTCGGCCTCACCGCACATGCTGGCAATAGCGGCTACTACCCCCCTCCCCCCCCCCCACACACACACACACACGCACGCACACGCACGCTCACAAAAAGCTTCCGCTCGGAAGAAGTGCGACAATAAAGCAAGGCGCCCGGCGTGTCGAGGGTAGGCAGCGCGGCGCGCAGGGCTGCCCACCGCGGTGCCTAGGTCTCGCCCGGCGGGGGCTCCGAGGTGATGGAGGGCGCGACAGGTAACGACGTTAGGGGCCACGCCGTGCCCACCCTGCGCCCACCCTGTACCCGCCCTGGGCCCGCCCTGTGCCCACCACGCCGGGCGGGAGAGGACAGGGCCACGGGGCTCGCAGACCCTGGCTCACCGTACGCAATGCTACGCAAGGCACGCGCGCTCGGGCAGCCCTGCTGCAGCTCCCCCTCCCCCCCACTTGGTGTCCGTTTCATAAAAGCACTTTTTTCCGCCCCTTTTCGCGCGATGCCGTTTTTGCGGCGCGCCACTGTGCCGCCAGCTGTTCCCTCTCTGTCTCTCTCGCACTCTTGGCGGGCGTCTCGGAGGGTGCGAGAGAGACAGAGCGACTGCTGCGTGAGAGGGGATCGGACTTCGGATCGGAAGTCAAGGCCTCGGTGGCGCCTGTGCGCTTGGTCGCCCCAAGAGCGGTCGCTAAAACAGTGCGCTGCGGTTTGTTTGGCTAAAAAGCCGGCACGATACTCATACATACAAACAAACGAACGAACGACAATGAATCGGCAAGCAATAAGAGAGATATGATCGTGAAAAGTGATAAAATCCCGACAATCGGGTCATCCGGTTATCGCACTCACCATTGCCGAATCTCCTTCTCGGAAACTGCAACACACAAAAGAGAGGATGTGTCAGATTACAAGTGCCGTTCGCAGAGTACACACAGTGGAGGGAAGGGGAAGGGGGGGATGCGTCGGGGAGCCAAGTGGCGCCATTAGCAGCGTCCCCCCCCCCCCCGGGCCAGACACACACAATAAAAGAGAGGGGGGGCACGAGTGGCGCGCGGGCCATCAAGGTGGATTCGGTCGCTTTCAATGAAAGTCGTCGCGCTCCTCCAGGGAAATCAGGGGTCGGGGAGCGGAGCCGCGGCGGCGGGTGGACCGGCGGCACAGCCAGCAGGGCGGCAGCGCGTCAGAGTAAAATAAACGGAGAACGATGACGCCACGGAAAAGGCAACGGCAGGGCAGCCACCCCGCCGAAGACGCCACCAAGCACCATCGAAACAAAGCGAGGAGAGGAGGGGGAGAGAGAGAGAGAGATACACTGGGGATCGGGAATTCATTAGCGGCTTCATTATTCAGAGAGTTGGCCAACCTGTGTGAAATTCCTGGCGGCTAACGAGGTCATGAATGCGGCGCGTGTGGCACACTGTGTGGCAGCCCTGCCCGCCGGGAATTCCAATAACGCCAAGGTTACAAAAAAAAACGCGCAAAAAAAACAGAAGCCGGGAATGGCGAGCTAGACTGCGCGACTGCGCATAGTGTGAGTGTGTGTGTGGGGGGAGATTGCAGTGTGCGTGCGTGCGCCGGCTGGCATAGCACTGGCACTCGTTTATTTGCGGGATGAATGTCCTCGTTTAGGGCCGGACTAATGTGGCAGTTCACTGGACATCTCATGGCTCTGCAAATAAGCTTGAAATTGCCTGGAATTTGTGGTGCCCCCTCCCCCTGCCCCCCATGGCCGGCAACACGCCGCTCTTTCCGCGCCGCCGGTCCCCGCCGGTCCGTGTGCTGTACAGTACCGCCGTGCACGCCGCGCGCTTAATTTCTCATCCTTTATTCAAACCCCCCGTGTGTGACTCCGCCTCCAGGCAACTTTCCGTCACACGGTGCGGGAGGGGGGCGGGGCGAGACCCCGTTAAACGCACACCAGGATCCTCGCATACACCGGCAATCCGCCTCTCAAGTTAAAACTCGGCTCTGCGGCCTTTTAAAAACGCGTTGCCGCGATACACCGCCGCACACCGCGCTCGGCGCGTGCTCTCATCCCCGCCGTGCGCCGTGCAGAGTGTATGGGGGCTGTTAAAAACGGAGAAAGAAATCCCGAAAAGTATTGCGTGCTCTGGGAGATTTACTGCGACCGGTATCCGCGGCACTCAGCGTGCGGTAAAGCGTTAAGCGTGTAGGGCGGGGCGGGGCGGGGCGGGGCGGGGCGGGGCGGGGCGGGGCGGGGCGGGGCGGGGCGGGGCGGGGCGGGGGGGTTGAGGTACACGCCCGCGGGGGTCCGCACGGGCCGCACCTTAACTGGGCCGGGTCCGGGGGGAGAGGCGGCGGTGGCCGTGGCCGTGCAGGTAGCCGCTGAGCCCAGCTTACCGCCATGCCGCTGGACCACCCCACCCCGCCCCGCAGCCCCCGCAGCCCCAGCCTAGTTCAAGAAATGGCTTGTTGGTGCGCCCGGGGCGGAGCTGCCTCGCCGCTGCCCCCTTCCCCGTCGTTATGCCGCCAAGGCCCGGCCGGCCCGGCCACGGCGCCGAGGGTGGGGAAGCCAGGCGGACGAGCCGGACCGCAGTCCGCATCCCGGATATTGGAACAGTCTCAGGCGCCCAAAAGTTTATATACCGTATACAAACTCGACGGCAGCAAACGATGCGTGTGTCTGTATGCGTGCGTGACTGTACAGTGGGCCATGCAGAGCGGCCGTTTCACGGCGCCATGCGCTGCTCCGAGGCATTCCCGCCACTCGATCCGTCTTTCTCATCGCCGCGTCGTCGTGGTGGTGCTCGACGTTGTTTCGCCGACACGCCAAGCTCCGTCTCCTCGTGCGCGGCCGAGCCTCGTCCTAATTTCTACCCCCCCCCCTCTCCTTTTGGCTCCGCGGTGATGAAACACCAGCGTCGAAAGCAAGCGACATCCTCGACAGATGCTGGCAAGGCATCTCCTCGGTGATTTGCGGCGCGTTCTTTCAAGCTGTCCGTCGCCGACGCTTCCTTATCAGTGTGCCTGCAGTGAAAAGGCAGTGAATGCTGCGCTATGCCCGAGGCGTGCCGTTGGCGTGCGTTGTTCCGGGCAGCCGGGGCGTGTTTTTGCCGCGTCACGCAGGCCGAGTCAGCCGAGGCCGTGCAATGTGAGCGCGTCATCGGCCGGCCCGGCCCGGCCCGCCAGTCGGTCTGATTGAAACAGAGGCCTTTTGTGAGGGGGATTGGCCCGGCATCAAAGCGGGTCAGTTTACTCGTCACTTTTTTCCATGCCCGCACGGATTAAAACACAGGAAAAAATCATTTTACGTTTTTGTCTCTGTTCTTTTGTTTTTTCTGGTTTTGTTCTCCATGGCCCAGTGGCCTGGCGGCCCTGGCAGCGCTGCAGCAGTACGGCCCGCGAGCACGGCACAACGATCGCGACAGCGTCCGATACGACAACGCGAGGTGCCGAAACTGCTTATTGAATGCGCCCCCACCAGCCAGCCCCAGCCAGCCCTTAGTCCCAATCGAGGCTCGGCTTCGGCTCGGCAGCACAGCCAGTCCATCTGGCGCCGTCTATCCAGGCGGCCATCTGGCATGCAGCACATTACCGCCGCTGGTTCAAAAACCCGCGAAAGAAGGCCGCTTTTTCCCTTTTCCCGCGGTGTGCGCCCTCCGCGCCCCGAAGGGAGAGGGGCTGCGCGCTGCTCATCGGCAGTCTGCCGGCCGCTGATCCGCATTATCTCGATCGCTTGACTTGGACGACTTGGACGACTTGCCCCCCCCACCACCACCCACCACTCGCAGAGCCGCAGAGCGCTAGTTAGTGGCTATTGACGCTACCCAGCCTACGCAGTCCGAGCTGCCTGCCGCAGTGTCCCGTGGCGCTCGTGGCCGGCCTCCTCCAAGCCCACCGCCCTCGCCGCCCTCACCGCCCTGCCAGCCACGGCCAGCCACTGGGCGCGGCTACATCAAACTCCGTCACAACTTTGAACACTCTCCAATATCGGTCGGCGGCCGCCGCCCCGCCAGGGCGCGCCACCCCAGTGTCGTCTCGGCAACACCAGACGCCAGGTGCATCGGCAAACAGGCTCCGACGCCCCCGCCGGGCCGCGCCACGCCGCAGAGGGGCCGCCGCCTGCAACTTATCATTACCACGGGGCCGCCCCTCCCCCTCCCCCGCGGCCCCGCCCCACTGCGCAGTGGGCCAGTGGGGAGTTTGTCAATCCCCTAGCCGCGCCCACAGGCCTGGAGGCTGAGGGCCCAAATTGATTCATTACAGGCAAGCTCCACATTCGCCCATGCATCGCGTGCCCCTCGCAATGTACCCGCGCTATGCCACTGCAAGGACAGGCCAAAGGCAACCGCGGAAGACAGCGCAAAGGACTAGAAAGCAACACTCCCAGTCATACGATTTAAAAAAAAAAAAAAAAAAAAAAAAACGCGTTTACTTTAAATTGTTTTCCGCGTCCGGAGTTTGCCACTTCACTGCGGACGGACACGGCGTAAATGGAATCCAAATATTTATGCTTTAGAAGTGTACCGTCGAGTTGGTGTTTCCACGCCGGATTTCGAGATGTTTAGTAGGGGTGGCGGAGGCAGGCCAGGCCGGGCGGCGTTCCGACTGCAGCCGGGAAACTCTTTTCTCCTCGCGGTAGCGCTGCCTTGCCTCCGGCATTTAATAAAGGTTGGAGAAATGTGTGGCGGAGGAGAGCGAAGCGAGAACTCGGCGGGCCAAAGCCCCTTGTCTTCTGTGTGCGTCGAGGCTTGACCCGCCATTGTGTGACTGCAGTGCCTCCACCGCCTCCACGGCCGGCACGGCCACGCCATTCTTTTCAATTCAATTATTGCTCGGTGGCGATACAGTGCGGGGCCTGGTGCCTGGCCTCGGCCGCCGGGCCGCCGGGCCGCCAGGCGGCAGCAGGGCTGAAGGATGACGGCTGGCTTCGCGGAGACACTGAAGAATGGGTCGGGCTCTGGGACGGGGGGCAGGGAGGGCGGGGGGAATATATATCTCGAGCGGCGGCAGCAGCAGTGCCCTGTCCACATAATTATGGCAATGCGATTCGTGGTGCGGCCACTGCGTCCACTCCGCCTGTGCTGCAGTGGACCAAGTGGACGCGAGGCCTTGCCAGAGGCCCTGCCTTCGGCTTTGCCGCGCTTGCAGTGTGCTCGCCGGGCCCGGCCAGGCCACCAGGCCCACCGTCGGCCTCCTTGTTATTCTTACGGCACACGGAGTCGCGGGTAGCCCCGCCCTCTTCCTTCTTTCCGCCTGCAAAAAGGAGGAGAGAGCGCGCCGTGGAGAGACCCCCCCCCCTCCCCTCCCGGCTTCCGCATCGGGCGGAGCGAGGCGGAGCATTGATGCAACTGCGTGACGTTTCCTTTCGTCCTGCAGGACATGCCTCGAGGAATGAGGCGAGATTGGGATCGGCCGGGGGAGGCTGCGGAGGAGGACGGCAGCCGGAGAGGAGAGGAGGACTCATGAATACTAATTCCTTTAATCCCATTTCGAGTCAGCCAGACAGGGGTCGGAAACGGCCTGGGGAGCGCGTGAGCCCGTGCGCCCCACCGCTGCCGACGCGCCGCGCGCGGCGGACCGCTCTGCACGGCGGTACTAAAATCGACAGAACTTTGTCAAAACTTCATCAAATCGATCAAACGAGGTCATTTTTGGATTCTACACAAAATTACCTATCGATTATAAACAATGGTTTAGCGTTTCAAGTGTTTAAAACACGTTATTTTTCAATTATAAGTCAATTTTACTGGCAACCGACAGCCGACTTGATATTTCTCATTCGCTTAAAAAGTGATTTCTGTTTGTTTTAGGTCCATACATGCAGCGAGCCGATTGTTGGCCATAGTTTACTCTGTGGCGTGGTGTGTTGGGAATGTTGATACGACCTCTGGGGCGACCACAGTGATCCAA